GCAGTCTGGACAGGAGAGGTCTCCAGTGGGTGTCTCCCCGACTTGGTGCCCCCTGACACCCAGGGAGCTTTTGCTGAGCCCAAGCTGTTGCTTCTCCACTCTCCCCAGGACCCCAGACAAGCAGTGCTGCTTGCTGCCCTGTCGCCCTCCTCAGCTGAGCCTCCCTGGGCACCCACCTGCCCACCAGGCTCTCCATGGCACCTGGCAGGGCCTCTGGGGAGCTGGGGGACCCTTGCCGGCCTGGGAAAGGGAGAGGTGTGAGGCCTGGAGTGCAGGAGCCAGGAGCGTGGGCACCTCTGCTCCCTACCAGCTTCAGCCTCTCCCAGGCTTGCCACTGCTGTGTTTAACCTCTTCCTTCCTGGGGTTACCCAGCTGAGGCCCCTGACCCCAGGCCCAGCCTCCATGACCCCGGGCCCCAAGTTCGCCTGCTGGGTCTGTAGGCCCCTGCTTTCCTAGGAAGTGAGCACAGACATGCTCCCTCCACCCGCTGCCCCACCCAAAGACCCACCCCCTGCTCCCCGTGCCCCTTCACTGCGGCCTTTGTCTACAGGCCCGGGGAGCTGCGGCAGCACCAAGGGTGGCTCTCTGTCAGGCTGGAGGGGGTTCTTTCTGCTTGGCCCCACTTCCCCGGCTCCGTGCCCAGGGCCAGGACATGCAGAGCCGGCTCCCGGCGGGGGGGTGGGGGGGTGAGGGGTGGGGGGATGCTCCCCAGCCTGATTTTTGTTGGGGTGGAAGTCTTGCTCTCTGGAATTTTTGGACGTCTCTACCAGCAGAGTGGCAGTGACCCCTGCGACCAAACGGCATCCTCACTGCGTTCGTTTTTTCCCCGAGTGTCCCCACACCCACTTAAACAAGTGTGGGAAGTGAGGGGACAACGGAGCTGCCGAAAAAGTCACCCTCCTCCAGCCTCGTTTTAAGGAAAAAAAAAAGGGGGGGAGGCTGAATCAGCAGCCAGGCACCCAACGTCCGCAGGAGCGCTCCCGCCCTCCGCAGCCCTGAGCGAGATTTTATTTGTAATACTAGTGTCGCTATTATAAATCCACGTGTCTAGAAGCCGTCTTTCCTTTTTGATACTCTTCCAGGTCCCTCTTCGTGCAGAGAGCCCGGGGAAGTATGGAGATGGTTCTCTGAACGCGGGTGGTTTGCCGATGCTCTCCAGCACCTGCGAGGTGAGGAGTATTCCAGGTTCCCGGGTCCAGGCCTCGAGGACTTGACGCTAAGGAGAAACAAAAGTCCAGCGGTGGCTCTCCTGGTCGCGCACCAAGAAGCCGACCTTGAGCGCGCCTGCGGCGGCCGTCAGAATCGGGCAGGAGGGGGAGCGCGGCTCGCCGGGGCGCAGGGCCGCGGGGCCGAGCGGCTGCAGGACTGGCTGGCATCTCCCGGACTGGAGGAGAGAGCTGCAAATGCCCACTCCCGCGCACCTCCCAGAAGCACAGCCGAGGCGGTGTCCCTGATTCGCAGGGGGCGGGGGCTGGGTGTCAAGCATGTTTTCCAAGCTTCCTGAAACAGCTTGTTGCGGCGCCCGTGTTGTAAGATTTACAATTCCCTCAATGTGGGCAGCTTCAGCCCAGTTTCTCCTCCCCTTTGTATGGTGCTCACTCTCAAGAGGCGCTCTTTTGGGGAATTATTGTCATGTTTGGGTTGGCTTTGGGTGGCCTGATACTCTTAATTATTTCTCTCCACATTCCTTTCTTTTTGCCTTCCTCCTCCTCCTGCACCTCCTGCTCCCCTCTCCAAGCCAGTAACTTGGAAATCCGCCTTCTCCCTCAGACCAGCCTGACCCTGCCGGCTGGAGACCTGGTGTCCGCAGGTTGCTGCCTACAAACAGGCTGGGTTTGCCTGGAGATAATGTGCTGCTTTGCAGAGTTCCTGCTGCAGCCATGAATATGGGTCTGGATTGCAGGAAAGGACACAGCAGAAGTCCAGTACCATGGGCTCACTTAAGGCTAAGGCAATCAGAGGCAAAGTTTCCCAAGAAATTAGAAAATATTTCTCAGGAGACAGTCTAATTGATTTTTCATGGGACAGGTGGAGAAATTAACCTGGGATGGCTTTGCAGGAAGCGAATCAGCCCTGGGCCTTCCCTCCACTCCGTTTGAGTTCTGGAGACCCAAAGTAATTTGGACATTCCCTGGCTGGTGATGATTAGGGTTCCTCAGAGTTAGAGGAAAATTTCCCAGAAAACCATAAACAGAAGTCAATAGGGTGTTCCCACAAACTTCACCAGCCCCATTTTCCTAGGGACAGACAGACTGTGAGGTTTGATTTTTTGAGACCCAGGGAAGAGCCCTGGCAGGTATGAACCTAGCCGGTAATTTGGCAAGGACCCCTCCAATAGGAGGAAAACGTGGGAGCCTACCCACATTCAGTCCACCTTTAGTGGCCAGGTGACCCAGTCCAGCACCTCCTCCTGTCCCCCATCCAGGCCCCCTTCTGAGGGTTAATTTCCCTGGGAGCAGAACCTTGTAACTGCTGTTTGTCCCCCACCCCCACCCGCCTGAACCCTGGAACCTGCAGTGAGCAGACAGAGCTGGGTTGGAGAGAAGATAGGACCTGGGCGCAATGGGAGGAGAGCTGAGCCAGGCTAGGGGGAAGCCTTCAACCCGCAAGGTGGCTTGGCGATCACACTGCCGGGAGGGCTGCTTGCCCAGACCTGATCCTGCCTTGCCCAGCCTGGCAGTGCCCCACTGGCAGCCCCAGACCTAGAGCTGCTCTGCAGTGGGCCTCAGCTGCTGAGCACCCCAAAGCCGCCTGGGCTGGCCAGAGCTAGGGCGCCCCAGCTCTCCCTCCTCCCCTCCTCCCCATGCCTCTTTCCACTGAGGGCAATTTTATTGTGTCAGTGCTCCCAAACCCTTGGGGCAGTCCTTTCGGAGGCTTCCTGAAGTTTGCAAATTTCCATAAAAATGCATTTTAAAGGATAGACAGGCAAGCTTAGGGGAACAAGGGTGTTTGGTGGGGTGTCTGCAGCTGGGGGGGAGGAGAGAAGAGCAAACAAGGAGCCTAAGGGAAGAGGGGGAAGGGAAGAGGAAACAGAAGTTCAAGTTGGACATCTGACAGCGACCGGAAAGAAAGTTTACGAAGGGAGAGAGAAAAAAGGAGAGGAGTGAGGAGAAACAAACTGGGGCCCTCACCCCTCCACCCACTTTTGGATGGCCCCTGCTCTCCCGAGGAACTTGTTTCAAGGGTTTTAGGACAAAGAAAATGAGGTAAATGGCCTGGTAGCCCGTCAGTGGGGGTAGAGATGTGGGGGTGGGGCTGGGAGGGTTCTCTGAGAAGGGGGGGCGGTTGCTCTGGGGTGTTTTCTCTGAGGATGGTTTTGAAGGTGTGGCTGAACCGTCAGCCCGCGCTCCTTTCCAAAACAGAAGATTCAGTTATAACCCGCCATGCTCCTTTATTTCTTTTTCCCCCACACGGAGCCCCAAATCCTATTCCCGCGCTCTTCGGGATCTACACGCATGTTGCATGAGGATCTGTGTTCCCGGGTGGAATCCTGCCAGATGCACTCGCCTCCCTGCTCACGCACACGCACACGCACACACATGCACACTTACAATGAGTATCTACAGGAGGAGGGTCCTGCACGCCAGCTCTGCGTTTAAGACCGGAATCTGCCAGGTTACCAAAGTCAAGTGTAAGTGTCAATTTCCCCATCCACCAGCAAGGAAAGGAGACTACAAAAGTCCCTTTGTATCTCAGCAGCTCATTTAATATTATTTATGCATTTTTGTGCAAGGAATTGTGGGATTTTTCCCCATGGTAAACAATATGGAAATGTTAAAAATAGCAATCTTCCAGCGCGTGTCCATGTATGCACACCAGGGTGACCTGACGGGGCTGTCGCGGGGTTCCTCGGCTTCCTGAACCAAGGGCGGCGGGGAAAGCGCGAGCGAGCGCAGGAAACACGGTCCCGGGCTCGCTGGGGCCGGGGCTCCGGCACGCGGAGCCCGAGGATGCGGCCGCTTTAAGGGGGGGAGGGGCGGCGGGCGGCTCCTGTCACCGAGCGGCCGCCGGCGCGTCACGTGGGCGCGCGGCGCTGTGGCCATTGGCCCGAGGCACGTGTCCAGGAGACCGGCCCGCGACGTCACTCGAGGGGGCTCTGTTAAAAATAAGAACAAAAATCCAGAGTGAAAGTGTCTCAGGTTGCGCTAAGTGGCCTGGAAATCGCCCGAGCCCGCGCGGAGGCCGAGGCGGCGAGGGCGCGCAGACGGCGAGGGAGCGCGGGCGGCCCAGCCCGGCCCGGCCTGGCCCGCGCCTCCCGCCGCTCACCCATGCGACTCGGGCCGCGGGGCTCGGCGGGGCTCGGCGGGGGCGCGGCCGCACGCCGGTGGGGCGCCCCGGCCCGCAGCGGGGCGGCGGCCG